ATCGGGCGAGTCATTGCCGGAACACGCCGCCGGAAAGTGGTACTCAGTACCAGATCTCCGGCTCCGAGATCACCGTTTCACTGTTCCTCTGGATTACAGAGATCCCGGTACTTCCTTAAAGATCTCCATTTTCGCTCGGGAAGTCGTTGCTGGTACGGAGCCACCTCCTGCGATCAACTTAAAGTTGAATTATTTCTGTTAAATCACTGTTTAATGTTGAAATATCGCGAATTATGTCTTCTTTTCTCGAATTGGTCCCAGAATGTCGAAGTAGAAGTGCTAAAGTCAACACAGCTTTACTTTTCCTTTTTCCAGGACATGTTAGGTTTTTCATTTTCCTAGTACTTGGAAATAATTGAATTCTTAATTGTACTTGGATACTGACTTGTCTATTCCGTTAATGCAGTTAGTATTTTTTCCAAAAAAAAAAAAAAGAGTCTGCAAAAGAGGAATCTGAATTAAGGATTTTCAACATATGAAATTAGTAGAGTGGTAGTATATGTGCTGATTAAATGTAGAATTGTTTTGCAGTTGGTAAAGAAGATCAATCACTACCATACCTCCTGTTTCTGCAAGGTGGACCGGGTTTTGAATCCCCGAGACCAACTGAAGGCAGTGGATGGATACTTAAAGCTTGCGAGGAGTTTCGTGTTATATTAATGGATCAGGCATGGTTTCCCTGAATCTTTTTGGATGAAATGGAGTACTTGTGCTTGTTGTTATTGAGGGTTGGTGATGTGTTTTTTCTTGCAGAGAGGAACAGGATTATCAACTCCGCTGACAACATCATCCATGCTGCAATTTAAGTCTGCCCGGGATTTGGCTGATTACTTGAAACATTTTCGTGCTGATAGTATAGTCAATGATGCTGAGTTTATCCGTGTTCGACTTGTTCCTGGTTCTGGACCTTGGACAGTTTTGGGCCAGGTATCAAAAATACCATTCAATTTTGACATTTTTGTTTGTGCATTTCACCATTTCATATGAGGAGCGTCTAGTGATGATCAATTAATAAGTATGCATGCTGTGAGTTTATAACTTTTTGTGTTTTTACTCTTTTCTCACTCTTTCTGGCAGAGCTATGGAGGTTTTTGTGCCATCACCTATTTGAGTTTTGCACCACAAGGATTGAAACAAGTGCTTCTGACTGGAGGAATACCTCCTATTGGAGATGGATGCACTGCTGATACTGTTTATGGAGCTTGCTTTGAGCAGGTTGCTTATCAGAATGAAAAGTACTACAAGAGGTATCCTCAGGATATTGAAGTTGTTCGTGAAGTTGTAAACTATTTGGCAGAATCTGAAGGGGGTGGGGTGAGGCTTGTCTGCATTTGATCCTGGTTCTTTACTCAAAGCTGATATTTTAGTTAAATCTTTTTAATGGAAACTCCTTTTTGTGCAGGTTCCTCTTCCATCTGGGGGCATCTTGACCCCAAGGGGGCTGCAACTTCTTGGTCTTTCCGGTTTAGGATCTAGTGCAGGTTTTGAACGCCTTCATTATCTGTAAGCATCATAATTATGCACCTTTTTTCTCCTAAAAGCTCAGATTTCTGTGTTATGTCACAGCATCCACATCTTGTTGTAATCTCTTTAAAACAACTGTAGGTTTGAGAGGGTCTGGGATCCTGTAATAGTCCCAGGAGCACCTAAGAAGATTAGTTTTTACTTCTTGAATGCTGTAAGGAACTTTTTAGTTTCTTATTTATATTTTGGAAGTTCAATTCACATTCTTGGAATTAATCTTGATTCATTTTGTTTGAACAGTTTGACAATTGGTTGGGTTTTGATTCAAACCCACTCTATGCTCTTATCCACGAGTCAATTTACTGTCAGGTAGATTATGCTGTTTATTCTATTCCATTTGCTTGATGAGCTACATATTGCTGCATATGTTACTTACCTTTAAAAAGGAATGGAAAAAAAAAAAAAAAATCAATAGTGATTGAACAGGTTTTACTGTGGCCAAATCCAAACAATACCATTAGGACTCTTATCTCAGTTGCAATATTCCACTCACAAGCATATGTGATTTGATTTTTGAGTTATTTGTCGTTTCTTAATTCTATAAAGGGTGCTTCATCTCGGTGGTCCGCTCAACGACTAAGGGCTAAATATGAGAACAAGTTTGATGCAATCAAGGCTGCAGGTGAAGGGCGCCCTGTACTTTTTACAGGGGAGGTAAGACCATTGTGTTTTATTGATTGCAAGTTTGCAACTGCAACATTTACATGCAAGCATCAATGTCTGTTTGACATAGATCTGAGGAAGCCAACTGGCCTTGAGGCAAATATATTTAGATTTCCTTTCACCCTCCATGTTCAAAAATAAAATATTGTTCTTCTGGAAGAAAGAGTATGGAACCAAAATTTCAGTATGTGCTTGCCAGCCATCATTTTTAATATGGGACCCTGAGAGGTGATCATAATTTTGAATAAATCTTGTGGTTCTTAGTCAATTTCTTTACCTCTAGCTGATCTTATCAGGGCAGCCATTGTTGCTATTCAACTGATAGTCTAATACATGTGGTTTTGGGATTCTACAGATGATGTTCCCATGGATGTTTGATGAAATTCATGCTTTGAAGCATTTTAAAGATGCTGCTCATTTATTGGCCGAGAAGGAAGATTGGCCTGCATTATATGACAAAGCTGCATTAAACAATAACAAGGTCTGACTGCCTTTAGTTAACCTTTCTAATTCACTATTTCACTCTTTAAATATATATATATATATATATATATATGTATTGGGGTTTTTTGCCTAACAAATTGTAAATTTGATTCTGAAACAAAAGTTTTTACATCTAGGAACTGAAAATCACATAATATTTGAGTTGTCTCCCGATTTTCCATTTCACTAAACTTAATTCTCTGATTCTTGAAGGTACCTGTCGCAGCAGCTATTTATTTCGAGGATATCTATGTTAATTTCAACCTGGTCATGCAAACAGTTAGTGAGATAGCTGGAATTAGGACATGGATCACCAATGAATACATGCATTCTGGGCTGCGTGATGCTGGAGGACAGGTTTTTGACCACTTGATGGGTCTGCTAAATGGAAAAAGGCCATTGTTCTGATTTCCACTAGAAGAAACCATTGTCTTGTCATTTTTTAAAGTACTCATTTTCCTTAGCTTTTCTTTGAAAAAGCAAAAACATTGTCCTGACAACTCTCATGATGGATTTAAATTTTACAATTCATGTTTTTGCAACGAATAAGTTTCTTAATATATATATTTTTTTTTTATCTATTTGCAATTTTTTTTTTTTTTGTTTTCTATTCTTCCAAAAGAAAATATTTAGTGAATATTGAAGTAATTCAATTCACAACAACATATGAAAGCAGAAGTTCCTTGTAGAATTTAAGAAAGGAAAAGAAAAAGAAAAATAAAGACCTACATTTCTTTTCCATATAGAAATGTTTTGAAAATTTTGTCCTGTGCTATATTGGTCTCCTTTCAAGAAAAAGCTCTGTTTATTGAACTATATTAAAATTACAATTTAACTTATAGATTTGTTAAAATATTTTTAATAAAATTATCTTTTATATTATTTTATTTATGATAATTTAATAATTTCACTACTTAAATTATATATTTTCATGTACAATTTAACTTGTAAAATATAAATTTTTTTTAAAAATTACTTTAATGAATTAGGGAGGTATGTAGATTGATTAATAATATTTTTATTTTTATTTTTATTTTTATTTACCTTGATAGATGTTTTTAAATGCAATTTAAAAAAAATGGTTCTCTTTAAAAAAACAAAAAATAAAAGAAAATAAAAATGAAAGAATGCCGCTCCATGAAGTGGCATTCTGGATATTTGGCGAGCTGTTATTGGAAAACCGAGAAGACCGGTTATTTAGAAAAAAAATGTAAAATTGTAACCCAAAAGGAAAACCCCAAACCTCGCTTTCGCCAGTGCCGGTTACCGGTAAACGTTGTTTTAAGCTTCTTTCCTTGCTCTTCTTTGCTGTGAACACCGCTGTTTCCTTGTAGGGTTTAGGCAAGGTTTTGCTCCATTATTGCAGAGCTTCGAATATTCATCAATTCTCAGTAGACATCCATCTCCCATCCATTTGTGATATGTGTGTGTATATATGATTCTTCCATCTCTTCTCAGTTGGGTTTTTCTCCTTGTAGATCCAGAATGCGGCGATCATTAGCGTCGGCTGCTCGACAGCTCGCCGGAACAAGGGGGTTCTGCTCGAAACCCGAGAAGATTGTAGCTTCCGTACTGTTCGAGAGGTTACCTGTGGTTCTTCCGAAAATCGACCCTGTGGTTTATGCATTTCAGGAGTTCTCGTGAGTTTGCTCTTCCTTCCCTTCAATTTTATTGGTAAATGTAAAGCTTCTTTGATCAGATTTGGTACTAGGATTTTCATACGAGAAAAAGGCACGATTTTGGGGACACCAAAAGCCGTCTTGCTTGTAGAAATTCCTGATGCTTCTCTACAAGCTTAAAATCCAGTGGGGACAGCCTAATGCAGCTATTTATTTGAATTGAAGCATATTTCTTTGAGTAATTTCATAACATGTGAAGCCAAATTTATGTCCTTTTACCCCAAAGATTCAGCTACTGAATGGGTTTTTAGCAAAATAATTTAAGTTTTGCAATTTATTTTATTAATTGGATAAATTTGCTGCACTTCCATTTATGAACCCAAATTTGTGGTTTTAATTGGCTGATACTTGTAATTGACTGAGGGTGGTTGGCTGTTGCAGCTTCAGATGGCGACAGCAATATAGACGCAGATATCCGGATGAATTTTTGGACATGTCCAAATCTAAGTAAGTTTCATGTGACCTTAAGTTCTTGTAGAATTTACTTCAGCTGTATCACATATAACGATATATACATAGTAGTGCTGCTGATGATTGGTATCTGAATTTTTTTTTTTTTTTGAACAGCAATATCTGGTATCTTCAATGTCAAGTCTCTTTGTATATGAGATTTTTGTTCTAGTTTCAGTGATCAATTAACCATATCCTATAACCCAAAATAATGAAAAAGATTTGCTTTTGAGCCCCTAACTTTTTTGTATTAATATCTGGTAATATATGAAAGACTTTGGTTCCTCCTTCAGGTCTCATTTATGCGTGCAAAGTATGCATGCAAGCAGAATTGCTTGCATAGAGAAGGTCAGATGATTTTGACAATAATCTGCTGATAGTCTCTGTAATTTTTTTAACCAGGGGTAAAGGTGACTACCAGATTGAATATGTACCAGCTCCAAGGATAACTGAAGCAGACAAAACAAATGACAAAAAGTGAGTATTAAACTTTGTGCCCCATGTGTTTGGTGTTCTTCCCAGAAAAACACTATTGATTGGAACATCTTTACCTATCATTTTAGTTTCTGCTTTTGTATATAGATAGTTTGTTAGTTCTATACATCTATCCTCAAGCAGTATTTAAAGTATCTAGGAAGAGTGAGTTATTACTCAAAGAAAGGAACTAGAATAAGGACTTGTGACAATTTAGAATTTGGTAAATGATTTGATCCCAGTAAAATGGAAAAATAATACATATCAATGTTGTTTAAACAGCCTGCATGGATTCTATTTTGTGATTGATGGTTGATTCTACTGAAACAAACTCAGTTTTTGTATAAACTGTATCTGGCAAATGATTTCTTGTTCACTTGTAGAGAAACTAAATTAGAGATAATCACATATGTGCTGACAGTGACTTGGTTCAATTTCAATATGATTTCTGGCAATTGCAGGCTGGCCCTTGGTCAGTGTGTTAATCTTTATCCTTGATCAAAGTTTTTAGGATGGTTATACTCTTTGCATCAGCTCATTTATCTGGCTTTATAAATGTCAAAAAAAATGCAGGTCTAATCAATTGACATAGGTTGTTAACCAAAACAAAAATAAATAAAATTTATCAACAAGAGTACAAGACTGACCAAGTATGCCATTATTGAATGTTTGAAATCTTTCATAATATGTGCATTCTCATTCAAATTCTTCTATGAAGAGATGTGTTTTGCTATATTCATGTCGTGTTAGGATTAGAAGTTCTGACTTGATATTAGCTGTAGGCTTATATCTGCTAGAAACTACTTTGTTTTTTGGCATAAGGGGAAGCATCTAGAATCTAGAGATGTTAGCTGTTTAATTGTGACAATGAATACTCTTAATCACAAAGTTTGGATTTGTATTTATTAAGGTCATTGCAGAGAGCACTTGATAGAAGACTGTACCTTCTTCTATATGGTAACTCTTATGGGGCTCCTAGTGGGAAGCCTGTCTGGCATTTTCCAGAAAAAGTTTATGAGTCAGAGGAGACATTACGCAAGGTGATGGTCATATTTTAATTCTCTCTTTGTTATTGACTTCTTCCCTTAATTTTGTTTTCTTAATTGTATGTGATTTGAAATACTGGCAGTGTGCAGAGTCTGCTTTAAATTCTGTTATTGGAGACCTTTCTGATACTTATTTTGTTGGGAATGCTCCAATGGGGCATATGGTCATGCAACCAACAGGGAATGTTTCCGAACCTTATAAGGTATGCTTTTGAAAATAATTGCCCACACAGTGGCATTATGCTTTTCTTTGCTACTCCTTAAATCAATGCTTATTCGTCTAATCTGACTTTCTCTCATTTTTTTGTCAGCAATTCTTCTTCAAGTCTCAAGTTATTGCAACCAACAAGTTTAACATTGGAAAATGCAAGGATTTTATTTGGGTAACCAAGGATGAACTATTGGAGTATTTCCCTGAGCAAGCCGAATTTCTTAGCAAGATGATCATCAGCTGATGCAGAAGAGCCATCTATCTGATATCTGAGCCACATAGGTCCTTTCGCAAAGCCAATTTTAGGGTTTAAATGTTCTTTTCAAGCTAGTAGAGAATGAATTTTGACAATTGAGATCAAACATAAATGCTGACATAGAATATGATGTCATAAAATGCTGACATGAGTCTAGGACTCAGATCAGTGAGAGCCATTCACTTGGGATGGGATTAAATGTTTCAATTTTAGCACATTCTTTTGTTGAGAATATCTCATGCATGGAATTTGTGGTGATATAATTTATACCTATCCGACCTTGCTCAGATTACTGATTACTAACAGTACAATAGTGTTTAGTTTCAAATCTATAGTCCATGCGTGTAGTTTTCTTAGCAAAATTCAGTAATTTATGGATTGGCCAAACCATTAATTTGCACGCTAGACATTTTTTCTTTTCATAGTCAATACTCTAAATTAATGTTTCTCCCGGTCAATACTTTCCATAATTTAAAACCTAGAAAAAACTTAAAAATTAACGGTCAAACCCTTATTTGTACAAAAAATTAATGATTAAACTTTTTATTTACATCTTAACTTTATTAGTAATTTGAGGTTTTTTGTGATATTCAAATTATGGAGGATGTTGACCCAAAGGAAAATTAGTTTAGGGTTGACCGTAGGAAAAAAAATATATATCAAGGGGGCAAATAAGTGCTTTGGCCTTATGGATTTGTAACTTTTGTTTGGACTATGCTTATGTCCGTCGGATATCTTGCAAGAAACCACCCAAGCAACTTGGGGTTTTTGTTTAGGACGGATGGCTTGTTCATCCACTTGCAGGATGAGTTCTATATTGCTATGTCACTCCTTTTAACTTGTGTGGATGAGTTGTTTGTCTTGACCAATGCATAAGAATGAATTGAGGGCTAGCTGGTGACCTAATTAGGGCTCTCCCTCGTTTTTCTAGGCACGTGCGCAAGCATCTTGACTTGAACCCCAACCTGGCCAATTATGGGGTGCTACTGCTACAAATGGGAAAAATGGAAAATGACTAAAGATTATTTGTTTGGAGTAAAATAAAGGGTGGAAAAGTTGAAAAATGAAGATCATAATCAATTTGATAATAATTATGATTAATTCTTTTTATTCGAACTATAAATCATTAATATGTATCTGTCTGCTAGTTTAAAGCAATGTGGCAATGCTTTATATAGGGCAAGATTTCATGTCCCCTAAATCCCCAAAACCCCTACGTGAAAAATAGAAAAAAAGAAGAAGAAGCGGGGGTTAAAATTAATTTAGTGGCTTCACAAATACAGGACGAGTGGTAACATATAGGGCGAAAACTTAGAATTAATGATGTGTATTAATGATGTGTATCGAATAAGATAAAATATATAGTATTATAAATATTAATAAAATAAAAAATTAATTATTAAATAATATATAATTAATCTTTTAATAATTTTAAATAACATAATTTATATTATATTATTCACTTAAAAATTTTAATTCTGTGTATCATTACTCAAACATAACCATTTTTCACCTTTGTCATGTAGCACATAAACTGCTGAAGTACCCTAATTTTATTTATTTTACTTTTTCCCCCCAAAAACGAACATAAACTGCTGAATATATATAAAATAATATAATGACGTAATCACAAAAAAAATTGTCAAATCGTCAATTCTTCCCCTCTCTATTCCTGCTTAATTTGGGTCGGTAAACTGTATCGTATCCAAGAAGCCGTAACCTTTGAAACATGTGTCTTTAACAGTTATTAAAGGAGTCAATATTGTATCGGTTTACGTATTAATTTTGTTATTAAAATGATACGTATCGAATATCAAAATTTTTTACGTATCATTTTGGATTTATCGTTATAAATATATATTTTTATAAATTAAATATTAAATTTTAAAATAAGATAAGAGATATTAATATTTAAAACCATTATATTCTTATAAATTGAAAACAAGTTTAAAATAATCATTTTTAATCCCTCAACTTCTAATATATGCATATTTTTCTTCCATTCACTTTAAATTAAGGGACTAAAAATGTGTATATTTAGACAAATTTAACAAAATAATTGATAGAAAGATTAAAAAAAATAAAGAATGAACTAAAAAAGTATATAAAAGAGTTAAAAGATGAAAATTATGTAAAATATTAGAGTTAAAGACCAAAAATGAAATTTTTTTTTTTAATTTGAATTGAGTTGTACGGATGATTTTTTTACCGAAAATTGCAATTGGAAAAAGCCCCTAGCCTAAAACGACGTTGTTTTGGGTCAGGAAATCTTTTTTTATTTTAATTTGTCAGTGTGTACGATCGGTACATCGGATTTTAATCGAAATGATCGAATTTTGATCGAAATAAAAATTAATATTATATCATTTCAATCTACTTAAAAAATCTATATGTACCAGTCATACCAATCGGTACGAAACGACATTAACTTCTTTTTATGCTTCCTCTTCTATCCACTTGAAATAGAAGCAAAGAATTTCATTGCAATTAAGGTAATGTTATGTACTTTTGTTTGTTTGGTTTGCATGCATTGGTGATAACGATATATATATTGGATGTTGAGCGAGTGCACGTCTCCTTTTACTCGACGAGCAGTTGAACAGAAGTAGGTGGATGTGGTTGGCTTCACTCTTTTATGCCCTCCCAAGACATGGAAAATAAAAATTCATACGTATAGTTATCTCCTTTCAGGACTCCTAGTTTTGTCTCTCTAGCTAGGCTATCTCTCTTTGTGGGTCTGGCCAACCTCTTTTCACCTACCACCTCTTTAAATATATATTCCATTTCTTTCTCATTCTCAGTTCCTCTCTCAATGGAGCCTTCTGCTTCAATGGACAGCCAACTATGGCCTCCACCATTAGCATCGTTACAGCTCCCGCCTCTTAACGTTGATCAGTATGGCCTCTTCAACCCATCTCTGCCATCCAACTCGGTGCAGCCTAATTTGATTCAACCTCTATTGCTTCAGGATATTGATTTGGTTGGGCTTCTCTCTGGTCAAGGTGGGGTTGGTAGGGATAATAAGTGGGTGGCGCCATTGATGCAGTCTGCTTCTCTGGTTTCTGAAAATGGAAGCGAGGAAGATAAAGTAAACAAGGAGATCAAGAGGAAAGGAAGTAAGATGATCAAGAAGAGAACACGGCCTAGGTTTGAGTTCCAGACAAGAAGTGCTGATGATATTCTTGATGATGGCTACAGGTGGAGGAAATATGGACAGAAAGCTGTCAAGAATTGCAGCTATCCAAGGTGTGCTATTTATGCACATGAATAGAACAGTATCTCTTTTGATCCATTTTCTTCAGAACATTTTATTAGACATATATTTAGGTTAAACCTTTCCTTATAAACTGACATTCAATTTGCCACATAGATTTCTAAAAAAGTTATGGGGGAAAATTACTCTCTTTTTTTTTTTTTTTTGAATAATCTAGCATTAATTTTTATATTTGAAAGGCAATAATATTGCAATTAGCATTATTATGGATATAATTAGAGAATTGCTTTTCTTCCTTAACAAACTTTGACAATTAATTAATTGATGTTTTGTTTAAAAACATATTGCAACAATTAATGCAGGAGCTACTACCGGTGCACACACCACACATGTAACGTGAAGAAACAAATCCAGAGGCTCTCGAAGGACATAGGCATCGTCGTGACGACATATGAGGGCATTCATAATCATCCTTGCGAGAAGTTGATGGAAACCCTAACTCCTTTTCTCAAGCAAATGCAATTCCTTGCTAGGTTCTAACTTCTAATTAGGCTAGGTATACAAACAAAGCATTGTTCCTGGTTTTCTTTTAGTTTCTTTTTTTTTTTTCCCCTTTAATGTCTGTATCTTTGTATGTTAAATGTGGATGGTGCTGTAATCAAATGGACCCAAAATGTCCTTATTATATAAATATAAATATAATAAAACTTTTATTTTACTTTTGCATGCATTATTGCAAATTAATATTCTTTTACTAGTTGTGTTCTTATACTTTTAAGTTGCGTTACTGAAAGAATTTAAAATTTTATTTAGTCAAAGAAATTTGGGAATTTGTTTCTCAATAAAATATTTCAATAAACAAAAGTTAAAAACTTTAAATTAAAGATCTCATATATTCACAATAAGAGATCTTTTATTGTAGTTCTTTATCAGATATATCCCAAGAAACTAAAAAATCAAAACATCATGGCTTCTATGATCTATCCCTCTAGAGTCTAGACCATGTATTGTACATAAAGGTAATTTAGAAACGGAAACTGAATTAAATTATTTTTTTGTTACAAAATGCCTCTTAAAAATCTTTATAGATTCAAACGAAACCATAGAGAGTTATATTATGTTTTGAAAGAATGAATTATAGCTATGTTCTTTTCAACCTTTTTAGCCGTTACTTATGAATTGTAGCTTAGTATTGGTGTAAATAAATTCCATTTGA